GCTATAAATCACAGTGATTCGCACACTTGACTTACGTTACCTACTGTACGCTTGACTAAATTATCTCTATCTTCAGTCTATCTATATCTCTTCTAATTATCTGCCTATCGTGCTGGTTTTACTCGCCAGGCTTATATGTTAAAAAAGAGGGCGTCTCGAATGCACTCGGACTTTCATGATCCTTCTAGAAACTCATCACGTGTTACCAGGGTCACGTGACTTCCGCTGTCGTAACAGTATTTTGGTTTTTGAACAACTGACGTAAAAGGTTCCAATCCGTTATCAGAAGCCAGGAATTTAGGTTTTCAACTACATTCAACTTGATAAGAAATTCCAGCTTGATATCAAAGGTAGAGCATTTGTATTTTCAAGCATTAATTTTAATTTGACAAGAGTTTGGTTTGGTTGTTGCTAAGTACAAAGCTCTGTTCACCATGGGCATTGAAACCCAATTTTTAGCGTCGTAAACCTATAGGTTTACCGCTGAAAGGGGGGTTAATTTGACAAGAGGTTCCAGCTTAAAATCAAAAGTTGAGCGTTTGATTTATTGATGGATTGTACATGTAAAGTAATTACTGACATTTATGGAGAGAATGAAGACAAGAACCATTTTTCACAGGAAATGTTATCTTCACAGTGTCTTCTATTTAATGTTTGTCAATCAGCTTTTGTAGTCCTTTTAAATAAAACCGCTAGATGGGTGTTGATTTAAAACGCTTTTGATTTAATAACACGTGTAAAGATTTTGCAAGTTCTACTGCTACAGATAACGCCTCGCTAACTATCAACAGTAGGGTAAGTTTCTTTTAGGTTGAAAATAACTCGGTCAAGATAAAAAAAGAAAAGAAAAGAAAGTTATTCGGCATGGTTGAAGATGAACATAAATTAAAGGGCATTTAGAAATTAGCTTAAACTTAACAGAAACTCAATATCAGAGTCACAACTACAAAGAAGTCATCGAAAAACATAAGTTGGGAAATTATTCGCATTTTCTAATAAATATTATAAAAATTCGTGAATCAAAAAAACACCATCTTTTGGCCATTGCCACGTTTTTAATTTCACTTGTCTGTTATTCACTAAATGTGAAATGAACTTGCCAATAAATAAATAAAATAGAAAATAACTCCTTTTAGTTGCCCATGTGTACATAGGGAAATTAAAGCAGTTTATTTTTTCCACTGACTTTTAAACCGTTATATTATTTCAATTTACAATTTCTTCTGATAATAAAAGTTTTAATTTAAATTTATATTCATGGCAAACCTAATAAGGCAATTTGTTACTGTCCCTAATTTTGAATTATACATTTTCAGACCAGCTAGTATCACCCTATACACTCTAAGGAATTGACTGTCGCTCTTATAACGAACCCACAGCTTAAAGAACTCGGTTCGCCAGCTCCAAAATCTAGGACCAACTAGTGCTAAAGGTGATTATGAAAATACGTGTTGAAATGTTAAATTCCATAAATGTTACATCAATATATTGTGCACTGTTGGCGAGGGTAGTTCGCCATGTAATTCAGGGGATGACACGAATTTTGTTTGTTTGTTTGCTTATTTTATACGGTATCCTACCTTTGAAATTAATGTTGGCGTACACTACTACAAAGGTTTAAATAATACGCATATACATAGTGAAGAAATTAAAACTTACACTAGTAATCACTAGTCAATTTTGTCAATTTATATCCATCATTACTAGGTTTAAATGTTTAATGATACAATATTTAAATGCTAATTCTCAGATAAAAAAAAGTAAAACACTCAAAATTAACTGTTAATGTGAAAGAAAATTGATCAGACCTTATTCAAGAGTAATTTAGAAATTTTATAATTTTGTTTTCAAATCTAGTGTTAAAATTGATATAGAAAAACAGTTCCATACCCAGAACTGTGAGACAAGCTGGTGATATCCTGTAAGAGTAAGCGATATATAATCCGCAGTAGTGATTTCATAAGGTTTGCAATAATACTTCAAAAAATGAGAAAAATAATTACTTAGTTAGACTTCTTTCTACTTACCACGTAAATTAATAATGTGAAACAAAATTGTGCATGTTAAGTGTAACACCAGTATCATAACCGAGTTTATCAGAAAAGAATATAACGACCATTTTTATCGAAAGGAGAAAAAAAATGTTATGAACATGGTTATGAATTATAACAATGTCATAACTGTATTCTATGAAAAAAAAAAACGTGTTCATTATCGTGTACGTCAAAAGGAGAACATTGTCACTAGGGCGTTTTCCAAAAGGGAAAAGAGTCACGTCTTATTCATGAATAAGAAAAACAATGTCCTGATTGTGTATGTCAAAAGAAGAACATTGTCACGAGGGCGTTTTCCAAAAGGGAAAAGAGTCACGTCTTATTCATGAATAAGAAAAACAATGTCATAATCATGTTAATCAATTAAACAAAAGCAAAAACAATGTCCTGATTGTGTATGTCAAAAGGAGAAAATTGTCACGAGGGCGCTTTCCAAAAGGAAAAACGTCACAGTCTTATTTATGAGTACGAAAAACAATGTCCTGATTGTGTATGTCAAAAGGAGAAAATTATCACGAGGGCGCTTTCCAAAAGGAAAAGTGTCACAGTCTCATTCATGAATACGAAAAACAATGTCATCATGAGCGGGTTTATCATAAAGAGTAACAATGTTTGTGTTTGTTTATCAAAATGAAATATAATTTCATAAATTAAAATTTTAACGGAAAGTAGGGATTGTTGATTATTGGTAGAATTGCTATAAGAAGTATCCAAAGCAAAATAAGTGCTTCAATAAAAAGTACACAAACAAGTAAAGCAATACTAGTTGGATAGGTTTTAATACAATTTTCAATCCCTACTTTGTTTGGTAAATTTAGACTGATTCATTTAGCTATATGGATTACAATAAAATTGTATCAAAAAGACAAACAATGCCACGTATGTCATGTCAATTTTTATCAAAATGAGAAACAATGTCATGTCAATTTTTATCAAAAGGAGAAAGAATGGCATGTCAATTTTTATCAAAATGAGAAACAATGTCATGTCAATTTTTATCAAAATGAGAAACAATGTCATGTCAATTTTTTATCAAAAGAAGAAACAATGTCATGTCAATTTTTATCAAAATGAGAAACAATGGCATGTCAATTTTTATCAAAATGAGAAACAATGTCATGTCAATTTTTATCAAAATGAGAAACAATGTCATGTCAATTTTTATCAAAATGAGATACAATGTCATACCAATTTTTATCAAAATGTAAAACAATGTTCTGAAAATACTTAACAAAAGAATAAGATGAAGATTATGACGCAATATTCTTTAACCTAAGTGTTAATAAAGGACATGTTTTTTCATGGCTATGCATAATAATTATTATGTTATCCGCATATGATCTGTTTGGATTAGCTTGCATATTATTATTCTCGGTTTACGTATCTATAGATTATCATATATTTTGCATTTGAATAACGTATTTGCAAAGACGTAACTGGTAAATTAGTAAGAAAGCAAACAATGCTTAAGAACGCGGTCTTAGTAGTAGACGTTCATAGGTGAAGTAAAGTCACTCATAACTTCAGTTTTTGCAGGCGAATTCAAAACTTATTTTTATTATCTTTTTTACATATATTATTTAAAACTTTACAGATATAGATTCACTTTAATTAACTCATTTGCAGTTTTATGGTTTACACTGACATTTCTCTCTCTCGTTACGGCAGTCTGGTTCAGCTGACTTGCAGCAAGCAGCGCCCTCTTTACATCTATCTCGTCTTTTGGCGACGCAGCAGCTTTCTTGTTTTTTTTCTTCTTCACAGCATTTATTCTCAATACAACATTGTTTTCTCGAGTCAGAAGCCACAGCTTAATACAGCAAATTAAAGTCAGTGTAAGTACTACTCTATATAACTTAGTACAATGTATATCTGAATATTAAAAACAAAACAATTAAAAATTAGAATTTTCTGTAAAAATGTTATATTTGAATAAAGAAGACATACATTCATATATTTTTTAATAACTGCTCGGTGGATCTATAACGTTTACGTTTAGCAAAGACATTAAAAATCCAAATGTGCTTTTTTTACTTGTTCTTATACTGGTATATAGATTTGGTAAAACGTCTACTTCGAAGGTTTGAAATCGTATTTTGAAGACCATTTCGTGACCCTCGGATAATATATTTGTAAAATACAATTTGTCTTACATTATCTAAGATTTGATTTTTAAGGAATACTTTTCATGAGTGAGTATATTACTCTAACACTGTAAACCAACCTATACCGCAGTAGTGTTTCACAATAGCACACTAGTTTCGATAAATCAAAATTATATATTTTTTTAATGCAGCCAAAACTACTTAAATGAAGTAAATAAACTTACCACAACAAGGTTTTCTATTAGAACCTGGCTTGTCCATTATTGTATATAATTGTTTTCTTTCGTGTCAAATTGGTTCTTCAATGGTGATAACATGCCTATCCCGGCTTTTTATTTACTCCACGTTTAAGACTCGTGCTCATCGCATCTAAGTACTGTGTGCAAAACTGGATTTATACTCTACGTTATCTATACACTACACAACGCTGAATACATAAAATAATTACTGCTTTTGAGCTATCGTTTTACTAGACAAAGCCAATCACATAATATGACTCATTTGAATTTATCTTATTTTGTTATAAAACAAGTATAGGTATGCTGATACATATAGTTCAAGAACATTGCTCAATAAATCACATGCTACCTCTGTACAAATTTCATTGATTGTATCTCAGGAAACGGTTGTTATGACAACATGTTATCAAGTACCCCCCATGTTCTTCGATAACTACCTTAAACGCTTCCAAGTTACCATTTCCTGTAAATATATCACACTGGTGGCTTGCATTCTTCAGTTTTAGAAAATGTCCTCATGCGGTTATCATATTTACGTGATATTATATCAGTTTGTGACCTTGTGAATTGACCTACAGGAATGTTTACGTATTGAATTTAGTTATCAAATACTATAAGGGATTTTAAATTAATAATAGATAAATGGTTGGCTATGTTGTGGAAGTTCACAGAACTTACAAGTTAATGGATGTTAATCCAGTGATCAACTGACAGATTTAGCGTACTTAAGAATAATAACCGTGATTTAACAGCATGAAATAAATAATACCCTACGACGACTACATTTTGAGATGCTGTAGACTATGGTTTGAATTTCAGCTGTGTATTTTAGAAGATTAATGTAAAATGTTAATGTTAAAATGGCGAATTTAACCAACATTTATATTTCTTGAAATATTTGGGATGACCTTCTCACGCTCATTGAATGTTAAACCTGGGTGTTTCATAGATTTGGTTCTTGTTCAAGAAATGTTGCCTTTATGAATAGGTAATGACTCGATAGTTAACGACTATACAGAGTTACTGTAAAAAAGACTAATTTTGAAACGGGACACGTGCGTAGTTCTTTCGTAGACGTGTGAATGTTAAACGAACACCATTATACCCGTCAACATAGAATAAACACTTAAAGCGACAAGGATAAAAAATAAAACTGGAAAAACGGTCCCTTGGTGGGTCGGCAGCAAGTTCTTTTCCCCGTGGTGGACAGACACAGCAGATAGCTCAGATTGGCTTTGATCTAAAAACAAAAACAAAAAACGAAGAAAAACCCGAATGATATGATAAAAAGTTGCTTTGTAAAGCATGAAATGAACAGGAATTAATCACAGGAAATCAGAAAATGCGATACGAGCTGAAAAAGAGAGTAAATGTAAATAAATAAAGCAAATGTGTTTCGCAATAAAGGGAGCGAATTAATATCACCATCAAGGATTGCTTGGAAAGGGAAATATTTATTTTTACAAATGAGTTATCCAATCATGTTCTCGAATTAGTTCTAGCCGTAAAATGATTTTTCTTTTTAATTTGGGTAAAATCTTTAAAGCTACTTCTTAGGCGCCCCCCAGTGGCACAGCGGTATGTCTGCGGGCTAACAACGCTAGAAACCTGGTTTTGAAACCCGTGGTGGGTAAAGCACAGATAGCCCATTGTGTAACTTTGTGCTTAACTAGAAACAAACAAACTTCTTAGGTATTTTTGTTCAACTATAAATACATCAGTTATAGGTAAAGGGTAAAGGTATTACAGGCTAGTTTCAAAACTAACTACAATTACACAGTAACGTTTATTACAGCCCAAAAATTAAGGGCGCGGGTTGGCCCTGCGGTAGGACTCTGGATTTCGGAGATCGGGACTAGGGTTGGAATCCGTGCCACACCACAAGACAGTCCCTACAATTTTCAACTTCGAGTGCGTTATAAGAGTGACAGTCAGTCCCTTAGCGCGGATGGAAGATAGTAGGGTGCTGCTAACCGGTTGCCTTCCTCCCCAAAATTAGGGACGGGGGAAGATAGCCTTAGTAGCTTTACCATAAATACACTACTGTTCTATTTAATCGATTAACAGACAATTGGTCTACAAGTGTGTACTATTGTACTTACGATTAATGACCAAGTTAGGTTGAGATTAAAAGTTCACCAGTACTCTGTCTTGTGAAAGTACTGATAATCTGATTGATGTTTTGTTTCAGAACTCTGTTTTTTTTAACTTTCAGATAACTTGACGTTTTGTTTTAGAATCAAAAGTGATTTTTAACCTTTCGTGATTCCATTCAAAGTATATGAAGACTTACAGTTGCAAGGGGTAAGAAATTTTGTCTTGCTAGTGAGTTTGACCTGGTTTACAGTATTGGGTTAAAAGTGTGGATGTTTCTTTTCTTTGTTCTCAGTCGTATAATGACTTTATACACTAGAACTAAGTCACTTCTTTAAGTCACATAGTCGCTCACATAGTCAAGGATAGGGCAAGCCAGTCTGGTTAAATTATAAGATTTATACACAATATAAAAAAAAAAAATACAAAGTTCGATATAAATCACAAATTCTTGCTTTGCCAGAGGGCTGCGACTTATATATATATATATATATATTTATCCAATAAGGATATCTTCCACCTTGTTTATGCTTTATCTTCCTTTCTCTCTCTCTCTATCTTTCTTCCGTTCTGCTTGTGCCCACCTGTCTTCTAGCTTGGCCTCCCAGTGGCACAGCGGGAGGTCTGCAGACTTACAACGCTAGAATCCAGGTTTCGATACCCGTGGTGAGCAGAGCAGAAATAGCCCATTGTGTTGCTTTGTGCTTAACTGTAAACAAACAAACAATATTCCAGCCTGTATATACGTATTTTTTTTTCAATTTTGGACAGTATTGCCAAGTCTCGCGAGAAAAAGGAGGAGCAGTGACTTTCAAAACAAGCGGTATTGACTTTTAAAACTGCTCTTTTATGACTTCCACTCAAAATGGCGATTTACGCAGTTTAATTGGAGTATAGAATGTGTCATGTGGCGAGCCAGAAAGTTCGCGTTTGTGGATGTATTTTTTAATTGAACAGGAGTGGTGATGGGATGATTCTAAAAATGTAATGATGTGTGTAGACTATTCATTGATCCAGTTAACCACCGAAACCACTCATACAAACATTGTATTGGGTGATGAAGTCAACTGTTATATATAAAAAAAAGCTTAATAAGCGACCTCAGAATAAAACGAGCCCAAAACACCGCAACCTGCGACTCTCAAAAAAATTAAAAATTAAAAACAACAACAAAAAATATGCCGAATTCCGCTTAATATAAGCGAACTTGATAGCACTGACTCTGGATCTAGTGTGGTCCAATCGTTAGCATGCCTGAAGGTGGATCTACGGGTGACGTTCAAATCCATCTATTTGGTCAGACAAGAATAGACCAAGAATTAACGGTGAATGATGTTGACTAGGCCTTCCTTCTGTTCTGTCAGCTCAAACTTATTGACGGCTATAGCGTAGATAGGCCTAGATTAAATAGATTTGTGCGAATGTTCGAAAACAAACAAAATCTTCTGCCCTATTTGTACCTAACTTCCTTTTACCATACTTGCATCTTTCTTCTCTCCTCTGTGTTTGTACAAGTCTTCATTTCACCTTGCTTCCAGTCCTTTGTTTATTTTTATGTACTTATTTCACTCCATTCGATCTATGTCTACCTTTCTGCCAACTTCGTAAGCAGAAACATTCATTCCAATACTGTTGTGGCCATTTTCTTTTCAGTCCTTTACTGATATTTTTCTTTACAGCACTATATCTTTTTTCCAACTGTGTATGTATCCTTCTTTCTTCCAGTTGTGTATATACCCTTCTTTCTTCCAGTTGTTATATATACCCTTCTTTCTTCCAACTGTGAATATATATCCTTCTTTCTTCCAACTGTGTATTTATCCTTCTTTCTTTCAACTGTGTATGTATCTTTCTCTATTCCAGTTGTGAATATATCCTTCTTTCTTCCAGCTGTGTATGTATTCCTCTTTCTTCCAGTTGTGTATATATCCTTCGTTCTTCCAGCTATGTATGTATCCTTCTTTCTTCCAGCTGTATATGAAACCTTGTTCCTTCCAGCTTTGTATATACTTACCTTAGACCTCCATTATGCCTGGGTTACCTTCTGGTTATATCATTATTAGGGAGTTACACCATATAAAAAAGACACACCCCTCCCCCGGTCACCTCGACTCGGTTTGCCAAGTTTGGTCCTGCTAGTTCCAGAACTATGTGGGGGTATAACAAGGGATATGACTGGAAGATTCATTTTGGTGAATTCATGCCTTGTTAGTTTCATTTTTAGACAGCTTTTGTCGCCGATCTTTGTGTTTATTGATTCACCTTTGTTATAAGACGCCGCACTTTGCTTACCACGGTGGGAGTACTACTTGTTGCAGGTCTCTTTCTTGATGGTCCCGATCCCTAAAGTTTAATGCATGTTCCTTTGTTTTACAATATCATTAAGAAAAGAGATATCATTGTCTTGGAAATTCTATATCTCTGACCTACGCACTTCTTTATGATTTGAGTGTCTGAATATTTTATGTCGGAATGAGCTGTTACACACCCTTCCCAAAAAACGATAAATTTTTAGTGACATCACACCACCTATGTAATTCCAAACAACGCCAAAATGTAGTCCTGATACAAACCGTCCAACCGTGACTTTATATTGGCTGTGGTTCTCACGTGACTTACTAATTTGCATTTTCAAAATCGTTATAATACAACATACTCAAACCTATGTATACTTACTAGTAATTTAAGTAAACCACTCCACACATTACATAATATTTATATATGCATTTATGGTAAAACTATTAAGGCCATCTGCTGCTGTTCCTAATTTTGAACTACTGACCAAAGGGAAGGCAGCCAGTCAACAACATATACCATCCACGCTAAGGGATTGACTATCACTCCTATAACGTACCCACAACTTAAAGTGCGGGGAATATTTTGTGGTATCGCACAACTTCGAACTCGGCTTTTCAGCTTTGAAAACCAGAGCTCAACTTCAGTACTAACCCGTGTTTACATTACCTAATCTCTAACAGGACTGTTAATGTAACATAGTTTTGAAATCTAGCAAGAGATGGCAGCAGTTCATCATATACTCGAGAATGTTATCGTTTAATTTGGAACGTTTATTTATTTACTTAA